TCCCACTCTGCGTGCACCCCAGGAGGGGGTATGCCCCCCCCAATCTGCACATGGGGTGGGGTGGGCTGCTGCAGGGTGGGGCTGTGCTGGGCTCTTCTTGGTGGGAGGGGTTGGGCTGGGCTGTGCTCAGGGCAGGTGGTGGCAGTGCTGGGAGGTTGCTATGGGGGGGCTGCAGCCACCCTAAAATTTGCCATAGTCCTCTTCCCAGTGCCAATGCAGCCCGGCCTAGTCCCCCACTGGGAAGAGCCTAGCACAATCCCTGGCCCAAGTCCGCAGCGACAGCCCACCTCGCATGCAGATCCGGGGGCACATGCCCCCATGCCTTCCGGGGGTGCATATAGCAGTGGGAGCCATTCCCCGGACAAGCCTCTCGTGGCTCCATCCCACGCCCTGCCCCGCCCTGGCTGAGCTGCCCCTGCCCCACTCCCTCCCTCACCATGGGGACCTCAATCTTCCCTCTCCCTTCCCCCCCCATGCTCCTTTTCTCCCCCTACCCTTCCCCCACAACAGACTTACTAGCCAGATACTGCTTTCCAAGCTGCCAGGCTGCACTCCTGGCCATGTGCATGCTGCAGCTGTGCACATGAATGAGGCATTTGTCGGCCACATCAAGCAAAAAAAGCCAATTTCCAATACTATCAATTTTCCCTATATCAGTGCCAATCTGACATGGGACCGATGTATTGGTGCACCTCTACATATGTCTGGGTTTTCCCAGACGTCCTCTTTTTGGGTTCTCCCATCTCTGTCCAAGTTTTTTTTAAATATCAGCAAATACCCAGGATTATGCTCTGTCTCTGCATTTCTGCCCTCCCCGTGCATGCCAACTGCAGGTGAGATGCTTGGTTTTGCTACCTGGCTCAGATGACAGCTGCTTGCTCAGTCCACCCCCATCCCCTTCCTGTCACTCCCTCCCAGCTGTGTGGCACGGAGTTCTACCCTTCCGACTGCACTAGCTCCATTGTGGGGGAGGGGAGGGAGCACAACAATGGGGTCCTGCTGTGACACTGGTGCTAGCAGTGGGTGGTGACCACAGTGGCACCTTTGCCTCCACTTTTTCCTTCTCTTTTGCTTGGGATTGCTGCCAACTGTTGTCACTGCGGCCCTGTTCCTTGGCTAGTGGCAGCTGCATGTGTGCCTCAGTGCGCATGGTGGGGAAGGGGCTGGGGGAATGCAACTTATAATTTTGGTGAGAACACAAGTTGATATCTCTTCTGAAATTGTGTAGTGAAAAGGTTTACCCTGTTACTGATTTAACTGAAAACACCTTGGAACAGGCCATCCTTGACGTAAATTTGGCCCAAAATGTAGGCCTTACATAAAAATATATTTCGTTATATATATTCAGTTCATTCAATATATTTCATTTCATAGTTCTTTGTAATGTATTTGAAAATGTTGTCATAATTTTAGTTCCAAAGTGAATATTTTTTTAACAAATGTTCCCCTGCACTTGGCAATCCAAACATCATGGCATTCTGTTATTCTACTAATAATGGAAAATGAAACAAAGTACACTACTTTTGTTATCAAAACTGGGTGTAGCAAAAAGAGAGATTGTATGTGGTTAATAAAATTTTAAATTATGTCAGTTTTTAATAATTTAGACCAAGTGTGCAGGCTAACCAGGACGCTTTCTAAAAGCATATGATTTTAACCTAACTGTGTTCTTTGAACATTTATCTAGAAGACCATTGGTACTGCCTTTTTATATGGTTCATTGGTTTCTTTGGGAGGATTTTACAACTGTAAAGCTCAGCAGTCCTTTTTACTCCTAGAGACTGTTCTGGACAGATGATGACATAATTATTTGGACCTGAAGTTTCCTGAATGTATGGAACACTGTCCTGAAACAGAATCAATAAAGCCAATACCTTATCTTTTTGAAAATCCTTCAAGACTTGCGTCTGCATTATCTGAATTATGGGGGGCGGAGGGGTCACTTGCTTTTGTACTTTCTTCTGTGATGTACACTATGTAGACATGAGGTGTAAAACTAACTGTATACAGAATCATAGAAAAATGGAACAGAAGGGGTCTCAGGAGGTCATATAGTCCAATCCCTGCTCAAGACAGGATCATCCCTGTCTAAGCCATCCCAGACAGGTGTTTGTCTAACCTGCACTTAAAAGCTGCCAGTGGTGGAGATTCCACAGTTCTCTAGGTAATCTGTTCCAGTGCTTAATCCTCAGAGTTAGGAAGGGCTTCCTAATAAGCGGCCTCCCCTCGTTGCAACTGAAGTTCCTTGCCTGGTCCCCTGGACACACAGAACAGTTTACCACCTTTTTGTCTTTGAAAATTGTTATTACTGCCTCCAGTTTTTGCTCTCTGGACTAAATATTCACTGTTCTTTCAGCTTTTCAAGTATATTGTTTTCTTGACCTCTGATTATTTTGATTTTAAAAATGTGGCTAAAACCTTCATATAAAGGTGTACAGCTGTATAATGTATTTGTGCTCTTTGCCATAAGATGTTAATAACAATAATATGAAGTTCTTATATACAGCACATTTCACAGTAGATCTTGGCATTTTACCAAGAAGAGATCATTGCCTCCTTTACAAACAAGGGAAGTGACTTGTCCAGGCTCACATAGCAGGCTGGCAGCAGACCTGAGCTAGGAATAGAATACAGATCGCCCTAGCCTCAATCCAGTGCTTTGTACACTAGACCACACTAATCATGTACACTTCTTTAAAGGGGAGCATGGAGCCTGAACACTTTCCTTTTAAATACTAACTGAAATGTATTTTTCCCAAATGATGGAATTCCTTCAGGTCCATGTGCCAGAGTGCTGTTTGGGAATGGGGAGGATTTCTAGTTTTTTAATAATTAATGTTTGCTCATAATACAGACTTTAATAAAGCTTGCTAGCAGGCTTTAATATAGATATATTAATTATGATATTCCCAAATTTCAAACGATTTCTAATTTGGGATTATTAGGTAGAGAATAGCCATATTGGTTCTGTCTATAACATTTGAAAAATCTCTTGGGGGTAAAGCAGTCTCATAAATATGTTGGACCTAACATACTTGAATTGGACTGGAAAGTCTCACCCTGATGATTCTAACTGATATTTACTGTTCACACTGTACTTGGTAGTCTGAAGGGGAAGAGACACTTTTGCTTCACAGAAATAGAATTGAAGGAAAGCCTCTTTGCTGTGGATAACATTGCAGTTGGTATGTACGTAAAGAATGTAGGCGCATATCTGCAAAGGCATGTACATGGATTCCAATGGGAATTAGAGGCCTAGAGGGGAGTTAGATGCCTACATTATTTGTGGGGCTTAATTTTTATTGACATGAAAGGGATTTGTGTAACGTTTTTTGTATTTCCCCTTATCACTGTGTTTAAAATACGTTACTTTACTACAATAATAAGTGGAATTGCTACCTCAAAATAAGGCTTAGAGACCTAATCTTATGCTACCTTTTAATTATGTAAGCATTTTGACTGTTGTAGGGAATGCTCGCATGGATTTTGTTTGCTGGATTGGTTCTGGGTGTGAATAGGCTTTGCATGATATATGCAAACTATTTAAAAACACTACAAGAAAGGCCAGTTACAGTAGGGGCATGGAGAGGAAAATAGATGCCTGGAATATAGAACTCTGTCAGGATAAGAGCTCTGGAAGCATTATGAGAAACAAGTTCATTCCTTAGTTTAGTATGGCTTTAAGTACCCCTATAGGCTTTTACATGACTGAGTTTACGGTTTTTAAGAAATACCCTTCCTTTTTGTTCCTGTACAGATATGAATACCACTGGGCAGATGGGACAAACATAAAGAAACCAATCAAGTGCTCTGCACCAAAGTACATTGATTACCTGATGACTTGGGTCCAGGATCAGCTGGATGACGAAACTCTCTTTCCATCTAAAATAGGTAAAGGCAAACAGTACAACTGGAAAACTGCTGTAAAGAAATATTAATATGACTAGTTTTGTAAAGCTTTTTAGTTGGTTTGTGAACTTATAAGAAGGAACAAATCCTACTTCTGCCTCCCAAAGTTGAATAGCCAAATAGTTGTAAATGGCTGATGTAAGTTTCTTTTTAAAAAATTGTTAGTTGAAGTAGGACTGTCGGAATAACTTATTAGTGTGCTGAAAGATGCTTTTATTGGGTTTAGATATAATTTGGGTGCCAAATATGAGACATGATGCACAACTGAGAAATCCTGAACAAAAACATGCTATGATTTAGGATACAGAAAAGGTCATTTTTGTTTAACAAGTGACTGTTGGGTTTTGTTTTGTTTTTTAAAGCTTTCTTGTTTCAAAAGAGGGGGAGGACTTTTCCTGATCAAAAAAGAAAAAAGGAACAGTGACCTTGGTGTCTTTGGGAAGACTATAGTCAGTATTCAGAAAAGATGCATAGTCCCAAAGTCTGATTTGTGGCTTGAGCATGACTATAGGTAGAACTTGGTGATTTCAAGAGAAAGTGGCAGTGTATGTGGATTAAAGGAATTTCTTGAAATTCATGGCACAACTCAGCTGCTTAAAACAAATTTAAAAATGTGCCCTGGCTAGTATGTTTTGCTATGCTTAAGTAAAAAGAATAAACTTTAAATTTTTGCTTTCCAGAAGACTAATGCATGCTGCTTGTTCTGAAGCTCAAAATTTGCAGGAAAGGCTTGTATCTCGAGGTATCTTCCACTCAACTGTATAAGAAAGCCAGTTGTGGAAACAGGAAGGGAAATATCTTAGTTGCCTTTTGTTTTTGTGACAAGGGTCTTTGGGTAAATCTGATATTTTTTATTAGACCAACTCAAATAGTTGGGAAGGTTCTTCTTGGCAGGCTTTCGGGTTTAAATACCCTTCATCAGGCTGAGGAAGCATCTGCAGTTGGTGTGTGCTCTTCCTGGATATAGTAAAGAAGCCAGAGTTTTTGTGAGTTGTTTCAGAAAGGCATGATAAACCTGTAACAATGGAGAAATAGACAATATGTTAGGAATAAAGCTTTTTGCACTTGCTTGTAGATTGTTTCAGACTTGCGCAATGAATCTGGCTTGTGTCTTTTTGTATAAGAATGCTTTCTTCTCAACTATCCCCAGCAGATGGAGACATAAGACGAGATTACAATAATGAAAATTTCATATTGTATCTGTTCAGTAAATAGGAAGGAAAAACCTTTTTTTATTATTCATAGTAATGTTAGTACTAGTGATGATTAGATATTTATATTATGGTAGGACTCAGAGGCCTCAACTGAAACTGGGACTCTGTTTTTCAGGATCCTGACACATTTATAGTCTCTTTTTTTTTATAGGATGCTAGACTGTATTTTGAAAATTGTGAAAGACCTTAAGGATCATAGTGACATAAGCAACTAAACCTGAGTTCCCAGTATGATGGAGTTGCTAAGACAGCAAATGTGATGTTGCATTGCTTGAATTAGAAATACATTGAGTTGAAGTAGGCATGTTTTATTACCACAGTATTAGGTGTTAGTGAGTCTGTTACTTGCATCTTGGTCCAGTTCTGGTATCCATATTTCAAAAAAAGATTTGCACAAATTGGAAAGGGCTCAGAAAAGAGTTGGCCAAATGATTGGAAGTCTGGGGAGCCTGCTGTGAAATGAGAGACTAATAGACCTTCATCTATTTAGTTTATCCAAGAGATGGTTAAGTGCTCATGTAGGCACTCAGGGTGCCTGTACATGCACTAGGAGGCTGCTCTGACATGCTGTAATTACTGTGAGTTGGAGCAAACTCAGTTAATTGAGTCTGCTGGAGCATGCTAATTAGCGCACTCCAGCCAGTGTCTGTCTCGTGTATCAGCAACCCTGTGCTTCAAAATGGCAGTGGGGGGCGGTTTAACTAAAGCTTGTTTGACAATGGTTTCATTGCTGTGCACGGGGGATTCCCCCCCCCCCCCCCC